CGGGGCGGCGCCGACGCGCACGCGGAGCCGGCAGGAAAGGTTGGAAGGGCCGGGAGAGGCAGGCGGAGCAGGGGACGGAAACGCGGGACTGAGGGCCACGTTTCTGAAGGCGGCAGGAAGACGCCTCGCTGGGGACGGGCCAGCCTTGCTGCAGTCACTTCTATGTTCCTGCCTGTTTTTGAAGCGGGATAGAGGCGTCCAGCTCCACCTCCGCCAGAAGGCCAACCCGCCCTGCCCCAGCACATACACCCTCGTCGGAAGACACAGGCAAGAGAACAGCACCTTCGAGCACAAAGGCGAGGAGGAAGGCCAAGACACCTGAAGGCAGACGCTGAAATGTGGGGGCACTTCCCCACATCCAGTTTGGAGGAGGAAACCTCTAGCCTCCTACGGAGAAACCCTGGCCAAAACCTTGGCCAACCGCGTGCCGTCTCTTACCCACACACACCAGTAGAGCTCGTTATCCCAATTAAACCTGCCAACACCACTTCCCACGTCGTTACACATCCCTGCCCCAAAACTCAACACTGGGAAGCGGCTCTGAGCCCCAAGGAGCCTCGTGCTGCCCCATTCACCAAGGCCGTGACACGCGGCCCATGCTGCAGAGCGGCCACAACCAGGGAAATTTTGCAGGGAAATTTCCCTCCGGGACTGCTGAGGCCGCAGACAACGCGTGGCGTCTCCTCCGCGCGCCGGGATTAAGTCCGGTTGCTACAACCGTCTCTCGCGGTCACCCGATCTGTCTCTCCAGGGGTGTTGACTCCAAACACACATGGATTAAATGTGAACTGCTGAAGCTATTATGGCCCCAACCATCTGCCTCTCCCAGCAGGCAGGGATCCTGGGACACCAGCCCCGACAGCCTGAATATTTTAGCTACCTATTTCGGGCAATTTTCTTATACCAAACTGTGAGCTGTGGCGTTTCAGCTGACGCTGCAAGCGCTGCTCGGTCCCTGCCCCACAAGGGGAATTTCCAGTACAGGACCGGAGCTCATGGCTACGAGAAATCCACCGCTTCCAACTCGGATCCGCCGACACTTGCACGGCTGCGTTTTAGGAAGGGGCAAACTCCAACTCGATCTATTCCAGCAGCAGAGGCAGCCCAATGTTTTCTTCCCCACTTGGCTTCTCCAGTGGGTAGGACGAGTCCTGTTGTAACCTTTCCCTCCAGAGATGGCTCCAAAGGGGTCCCTGCGCTCCAAACCCACACCTATTCCCATGAAATCTGTAGAAACTTGACAGTTTGGAGACTTTGGCAACGTTGGGGCTTGCCAACAAGCGCCCAAATTACTAGGGGGGGACACAGGAGGAGAGGCCGACAGGCAGCAGGATTGCACGCGGCTGGTTTCCATAGGAAACCAGGCTAAAAGACACGTCTCAACTGTCTGCGCTTCAGCTGCGGCGGTACCGGGAGCAGCGCGAGCGCCTGGGTAATTCCTGGGTAATCGCGACCTTCCTCGGGAGGGCCGGGCACGGGGTGGCCGCGGGGACAAACCTAGAGCTTGTCCCCTGCACTGGATGCGCGAGGTGACCTCAAGCCACAGGGGGATGGATGGTCCCTCCTGGGCTCGGCAGCACTCGTGCAACCCGTCACCAGCTGGTGACCTGTCACTGCAGCTCTCCCACCCCACGAGCTCCGGGATCACAGGAGGACTCTTCCACCTACCGCAGCAGCGGCCGGGACAGAACAGGCCGTGGAAGGGGCCAGAGACGACTCAAACGGTTGGGCTGAAGGGAGCAGGGACCCCCACGCGGGGCCTTCCCTCACGGGGGTGAGAGGTGACACGTCACGAGCAGTGGCTTCGTCCCCACGTAGGTGCAGAAGAAAAACCTCTCTGCAGGCAGGAGGTCAGACCCCTGCGTCAGAATCCACAGAAACTTGCAAGCAGGGCAAGAGCCCAGCTGTGGCAAGCACCAGTCAGGAGAATTAATACTGTTTGCTGAGATAACCCTTTAAATACAGACCTGCAACCATCACTCCCTGTCTTGAAGGACGAGGTGCCTGCCTGGCGAATTGTCTTATTTTGCTCCATTTCTAAAGCAAGGGAAACGGGCATTTCTCTGATTTTTCAGTTCCAGCCTTTCCCAGTAACAGGCAGACACATTGCTGCAACTCAAGCAAAGGCAGGAAAGAACTTTGTAATTCAAAATTCTCTGGATATTTCTACACTTACAGAAAAACAAAAACAAAACCAACAAAGTGATGGTTGCAGTGACCGAAAGAAAAAAAGCAAGATCCAAGTTAGATTCAAAATCATCAAAATCATTTTACATGAACCCACAGTAGCTGGTGAGGCAGGAAGCACTTGCGGGGCAGCCGAGGGGCGAACACGATGCTCTGAGGAGCCCCCAGGGTGCCAGGTTCAGCCCAGAGGGTGCTCTGAAGGGGACCCTAGCTAGGGCAGCGGGGCACGAGGTTTGGCGGCAGAAGATCCAAATCCCGAGGACGTTAATGCTGTTTGTGCCACCGTGCACCAACCAGCTTTAAATAAAGAGGCCTAGTCTTTGCTCTCCAAAGTCTCGGCTTTTCTCCCCTGCAGCACTACCCCAAAATTACCCTGTTGTGGAGCTGCATGGCCCAGGACGCAGCCCACGGAGCATCGAGGCATCTGCAGTCATCCAAAAGGGAGACACAAAGGGGCAGATCCCGACTCCCACCACAGCAGAGAACTGGAAACACTCGGTCAGACTGTGCCCTAAGCCAACGCTAACACACAGGCTGCTGTAACTCACCCTCCTCCTCCTCGCAGGAGGAGCAATTGGGTAACTCACCAGTTCCTGGCACGCTGGACGCCGCTCCTCGAGTTACGAGCTGCATCTCCAGGGCCCTCCTAGACACCCTGGACCATTTCAGTTGACCGCAGCTCCAAACAAGGTCGGACTCCAGCAGCAAACCGTGCCAAGCTCCGTGTGGGCAACAGGTGCTTAAAAAAGAAGAGCTGAGTGCCCAGCTCTCTTGCAAAACATCTCACTTCAGTCCTGCCGGAGGAGGAAGTGGGCCAGGGAGAGCTGATGAGGCGAAGGCAAACGCAGGAGTCGCGGAAAACACAGCCCTGCCAGGAGCAGCATTGAACGGCGGCGCTGGAAGGTCAACGACGCGGTCAAAAGTGGTAGCCCCGAGGGAGCAGCATGGCCCTATCCTATTTTCACGTGCAGCTCCCTCTTCACACCAAAAAAACCCCGCCGTCCCTGTGCCCCCTCAGGGCAGGTCTCTGCACCGCGGCTCGAAAGCTTTTAGAGACAGCAGAAAGATGAGCAGTGCCACAGGGCTCCCTCCGAACGGGTCCCTGGCTGCGAGGGTGACTCGGAACGCAGCACTGGAGGAGCCTGCAGCAGCCCCTGGTCAGGGCACAGCTCTGGAGGGCTAAAATAACCCAAAAGAGGGAACAGGGGAAAAACAAGCAAGCAAAAATGCACTTGTGAAACCCAGTACATGGTTGAAAGCTCCAGTTCGGGGACTTGGCGCAGAGGGACAAAAGTCACCAAAAGAGAAAGGGGTGATTTTTCTCATTCCTGCAGAATCTGCTTCACTGGTCCCTCTCCTGCGTTCCTCAGCCAACTCTGCTCATGGATTCTGCCCCTTTGGATGGCAGCCCTGCAAGGGAACACCCGGAGCCAGAACCGGGACTGCAGGTAACGGCCGCGCTCTCATCGAAGAATCACAGATCACCAAAGGACTATGCCAGAATTACAGGCAATGGGCAACGTTGGTCTTGCAGGGGCAACTTGCTCACACGGCCCAGGAACGTGGCTTTTGTTGAGCGCGAGGACACGTTTCTAGATATGGTAGAAGAGGAGCCTGCAGACGCGTTCGAGCTAACACGAGCTGCTAAAGGAAATGGGAAGTTGAGCAAAGAGACAGCACAAAGGCTGCAGGCCAGACTCAGTGGTCCACCAATAAATAAACAAACACACGTAAAACCTCATCTCCTCCAGTTAGGCTAAGGAAGATCAAGCTGTGTTCGAGCCACACAACTCCCTGGAAAGGGACGTCTCAAACGTCGCTCGCACACACAGCGGAGCCGGCCTCGCGCCCCGAGCCAGGCGCTGGCTCCGAATCGAAGGCCGGCAGCAGAGGGACATCGCGTCCCCGTGCCCCGAGCCAGGCGCTGCCCGGCGCGCGTGGGAGCACGATGTCCGCAGCTGCGCTGAGGTCGACCAGATCGGAAAGGCCAGCAGGAACGGAGCTGCCGCGCGAAGACTCCCCGGAGCGAGGACTCCCCGGAGCGAGGACGGCGGTTCTGTCCAACTCCTACTCCCCGCACGCGCCAGCGAGCTGGGGAGCGGTGCTCGGCCGCGCTCCTGAGCACTAGAGCTTTGGGGGAGCACGGGCCAGGGCGGCCCTGGGGACAGGCAGGAGCCCTGTGGCAGCGCCACAAAGTGTCTCGCTTTGCCCTAAGCCACGAGCTTGCATATTCCAACATCCATCAGAAATCAGATCCACGAGCTCCCTGGCCTCCAGGGTTAGAGGCAAGGGGCTGCTCCATAGGAAAGGAGAGTTATCTTGCTCGTGCAGCACCAGACTGGGACCTTTGCCCTAATCTTGACTTTGTTGAGGCCGAGGGACTTGCCCACAGTCACACAGGAAATCTCTGCGGCTCAGTTCTGCATGTGAGACGGGCCGATAAAGTTTCCTGACCTCCCCGGAGGAAGGTGCGAGATGATCAGGTACCACAGGACCAAAGAAAGGGAACGAAAAAAGGCAAGGGAAAAATACTTGCTGTGGGACTAAGCTGAGCTCAGCAAGGATGAGCTCCTTTAAAGAGCAAGGCCGAGAAGAGATGCTCATCACCTAACGAGAGGCAGCGACTCCTGATCACCCAAATGCATAAATTCTGCTCTCAAGGCAGCACACCAAGAAAGGAGAACCTGTGCTAGACGGCAGCACCCATCACCCAGCAATTTCTCCCCTCATTTCACCCCAAAAACCACACAAAAACCAGAGAACTTTTGGTTGCGTTTCCCGCCTCGCAGAATCCACCTCAAACGAAGAGGAGCAGCGAGGCCGGGCCGATCTGCGAAGGCCCCGCTGTAGACACACGCAATCACGTTTGCGATGAAGCTCGAGCTACAGGAAACCGGCGGCACCTTCCCCGGCCCGGAGCGCGATCCTCTTGCCACACTCCGCAGCTTTTTCATAACGCCCGCGACCCGGCGCTCGGAAACTCGCTTTTCGCTGACCCACTTTCCACCGAGAAGAAAGTTCATCTTTATTTATCCGGACTTTCTGCTTTCCCTCGCAGGAACGCCGTCCGCATGTTAATGGGGGAGCGGGGGGAAGCCAGGGAGGCCGGTGGCAGCCGGAGACCTGAGCTGCTGTCGCGGAGCCCCGTGGCGCCTTTTTATGTGGGGCAGGCCGCGGAGTTGCCACAAACCGCAGCAACCGAGGCGAACCGCGGCCCCCTCATAACGCGCCCCTCTGCCCCAGCTGCCCCTCGCCTGCTCCCAACCAACCCTGCACCCCTGTGGAAAGAAGGGGGCTGCGGAGAGCCGCCCTTCCCAGGTAGCTCCCGGCCGCAGCGGCTGCAAGGACGAGTCTCCGAGCTCGGAAGCCTCCTGCGCGCTGCAGAGCAACACGTGTCCAAATTCTTAGCGCGCCCGTGATCAGAAAGGAGCTCCCACGTGCTCCTGAGGAACAAGCAAGGAGTGTTGCCGCTTCCACAAACAGCCGCCACGGGCAGCAGCCAAACCCGAGCCAAAAAGCAACTCGGTTCCAATCCTTTTGGTCCTGTTTCTTGCCACCCCCGGCCCCATCGCCGCCCCCGGGTCACGGTG